AGCCGGCATAGGGGCAGCGCTTCTTGTAGAATGGGCCGTTACCACTGCTGGCACCCTCTCCTGGCGTGAGTCATACGCTGCTGCTATGCAATGTCTGACCCACCTGCCTCGATAGTAGCCACTGAGACCTTTTGTCCCAGGGAAGGAGACTGGAACAAAATTAAAAAGGCTTCTGATTGTCTGGTTTCTGCCGTTCGCTCAAGGTAAATTTGCAGCGCCCAACGCATATCTAACTTGTGCCATTGGTGTTCCAATTCGTGTCTGGGAGAGGGACAAAAATCTGGCAACAGTACCTCCTGTGTGCGGTGGAACCAGGAACCAACCTTCGGCATAAAAGAGGGATCCAGTCTAAGGATCACCCTGTCTGCATGGAACCTACAGAGGTCCTCCCTCAATGACAAAGCACGTAGTTCAGATATGTGTCTCGCTGATGTCACTGCCACCAGGAATGCTACCTTCCAGGTAAGTAATTGTAAGGACACCTCCTGAAGGGGTTCAAAGGGCGGATCTACCAGAGCCTCCAGGACTTTCGCCAGATCCCAGGTTGGATATCTATGCACTGTGGGTGGTCTTACATTAACCACACCTTTAAGGAATCCCCGCACATTGGGATGATGTGACAGCAATTGTCCCCCACCCCAGGTGAGTATGGTGCTCAATGCAGCCACCTGTCTCCTAAGAGTACTAGGTGCTAACCCCTTCTCCAGACCATCCTGGAGAAATTCCAGAACCTAAGGGATGGTGGAGTGAACCAGTGAAATGTGCTTGGCCGCACACCAACGAGAAATATTTTTCCAGGTGGCATTGTAGATGCGGACTGTTGATGGTCTCCTGGAGGCTTGTATGATGGAGATGACCCTGTCCGAGAGACTGCTGTCCCTCAGCGTGAGCTGTTCAACCACCAAATGGTCAACTGCAGCCACTGGGGGTCAGGGTGTTCCAATGACCCCTGGGTCAGGACAACCTTGTCTGGTGGAATCCTCCAAGGTCTCTCCACTGCAGGTCGGCAAACCAAGGGCGCCTCGGCCAGTATAGTGCCAGAAGGATTACCTCCACCCTGGTGCAGATGACCCTGCGAAAGACTCTGGGGAGGACAGGGACCAGGGGAAAAGCACAGAGGAGACCCCTGGGCCAGGGGCTGTGAAGGACATCCACTCCTTCCGCTCCAGGTGTGTTGAACTGTGTGAAAAACCTCGGGAGCTGGGTGTTGGGCAGGATGGCAAACAGGTCTATGATCGGGAATTTATACCGCTGCGTGATCTCCTGAAAAAGACAAGGATGCAGTCGCCATTTGGCTTGATCAACTATAGCCTTGCTCAGCCAATCCGCAGTGACATTAGCAGTGCCAGAAATATGCTCCACTGAAATGGATAAGAGATTATCCTCTGCCCAGGAGACTAGGACATCGACCTCTGACATAACACCACCAGACCTTGTTCCCCCCTGCCTATCAATGTGGGCCTTACCTGCCATACTGTCGGTTATAATAAGGACATGCTGCCCCAAGATGGAATCCCGAAATTTCAACAGGGCCAACCTGATGGCCCACAGTTCCAACCAGTTAATGCTTTGCTCTGCCTCCTCCTGGGACAATTGTCCTTGTGCCATTTGTGTCCCCATATGGGCACTCCAACTGTACAGGCTAGCATCTGTGGTAACCGTCACTCTTTCGAAAATCCTAAAATGACACCCCCTCTCAATGGCCGGTGACTTCCACCAGTAGATTGGCGAACCACCTGGGGTAAAGGCACTTTAGTCAAGGAAACACTGCGGTTAGACTTCTGGTAGGGGAGGAGGAACCATTCTAATCCCCTTGTATGTAATCTAGCCCAGGGCACAATGGATATAGTAGAAACCATTTTCTCCAATAGCTTGGAGAGCATAGCTAGGGACACCCGGTGACTGCATAACACCTCTGTGACTCTGTGCTTGAAGCTGTTAAGGCACTCCTCTGAAAGGAAGACCTGACCCGCCTCAGTATCCATTCAAGCCCCTAAATGTAGAATACGAGTTGTGGGTGTAAAATGGCTCTTAGCTTCATTGATGGAAAACCCATGAATCCTTAACACATTCAACGTGAGATGGAGATCGTACAAAGCCCTGTCCCTGGAGGTTGAGTGTACCAATATGTCATCTAAATAAAGTTGTACCCTCACAGGAATGGTGCGCAGGTATTCTGCAAGGACCGCCAACAGTTTAGTAAAAACTCGAGGTGCAGAAGAAAGGCCAAAAAGCAACGCTCTGTATTGATAATGATATGATTGGTAACAAAAATGTAAGAATTGCCGATGCTCCTTCAGGATGGGCACATGCAAGTACGCCCCTGTGAGGTTGATCGAAGAAAATCGCTTTCGCGAATACCTTCCAAAAGGGTGATTAAAGAATGCATTTTAAACATCTAAACATACTTATTCAACCGTTTCAAATCTAGAATGGCCCTCCACCCCTCTGAGGACTTTGGTATTACAAATAGAATGGAATAGAACCCATGGCCTGCTTGGTTTGCAGGGATTTCCTGTATGGCTCTAATGTCCAGCAGGTGCTGGATGGCTGACTGCATGAGAAATCCTCTCTGGGGTTGGTAGAAACAGGGCAACGAAGGAAAAACTTTGGGGGAGGGGAAACAAATTCCAGGGTCAAACCGAACCTGACCGTGCCCTAACCCAGGCATCAGTGGTTGTGGCTTCCCATTGGTCAGCGAAAAAACATAACCTGCCTCCAATGGGGAACTGAGAGGGATTAAGATCTGCAGTAGTATCGGTTACCTCCCCCCCAAAAGGGACACTTAGATTGGTTACACCTCTGCGGCAGATACTGTTGTTTCCTAGGCTGCTGAAAGAATCCTCCCTGTGGGCGATAACTCGAGGGACAGTACTCCAGTTCCCGAGATCCACCACACTACTGTCGGCCATGAGGAGAAATAGGGCGGATCAGCACAAAATGACCACCGCAATGAGGCTCCGCCCACTTTTCAAAATGGTGTTCACGCCTTTTTAAGCCTCCCACTGGACCTGTCAGCGCTTCGCAGGCCGCACTGCCATTCTTGGCACTTTGGCGCTTTTCTGCCTGCTGTCTGAGGAGCTTCTTGTGGCTCCGCGGCCTTGCCCCGTGCTTCCGTGCCTCCTCCAAAGCCTCGCTGTGAACCGGTAAGTGGAGGCGCGTTTGATCTGCGCTGCCCTGCCACCGGGTGGCAAAATGGCCCCTTCCCCAACTCCGGAGGCTGTTAAGGCCCAGGAGACAATCGCCTCAGTAGCAACAGCAGTTCGTTTTTCTGCAAGGCGTTCAAATCAGCGTGGGGAAGTATTAGCGCTCTGTCAGAACAAGGGAGAATAGCGCGCACACGAGCCTGTAGCCAGCAGCCTTGTCAGCAGTCAGGCTTTAGAGCCCTGGATATGGCAGTACCCACAGTCAATGCAAGCAGGAATTGTCAAATAATTCAGATTAATCAGCAACATATATGGAATGGATGGAATGGATAACATGACCGTCCAAGAGTGGACTGAGTCGGAAACTGGGGGCGGGTTATATAGGGGGTTAATTAATTAGTAATCAGACTCAGTCCAACCAGAGCACGAACAGTGTCAACCCATGCATGGATGCTATCTCCATCCTTAATGAGAACTGATAAATTGTCCCCTTTCAGACTTAATACCAAATCAGGATTTTAGTTACATCAACAATGCAATGGCCCTCGAAATTGCATTACGACTTCTTTTTCTCTACTCTTCCCTTGCAGGCTGCATTCTCCTAAAGAAAACCATAAATGAAAATATTTTCATGTGAACATGAAACTAAACTGTACACAGTCACACTCTGCTCATCTACCATCTACAAACTCAAACCATTTTGATGTTCTAGATATGACATGAAACCACAAGTAATGGATTTACAATCACAATTGGGACTGGGAAGGCTGTCATAATTCAGTGAGGTAAGATGTCATGTGACTGCAGTGACTTACAATGGCAGTCCTGGCATACATACACCCTACCCCAGTTGCAGTCAGGAACCAGGAATCACAAGTTGTTAAGCAATTCTCTCT